CGAAGTACCTCGACGAGAACGTCGTGTAATCCCAACTCCGGATATCGCACAATGCGGGCTCAAATTTCGACACGATGTCCAAAAGAAACAACTTCTCACATCCTGTCATGAATTGCATTGTCCCCCCCCCCGTCCCGTCGTATAGCCCGTTCTAATCCTATCGTGGCCGCGTCATTGGCACGTCGTAGTCCCCCATCTCCAATTCTTTGGCCCATGTTAGTGACGGCTGTCCTCTCATGGATACATGGCCTGTCGTACTCGATTCGTTGTAGACTCGTCTTGTATAGCCTATGACGCAATGCCTTCGTCGCGGGCGCCGTCGTGTAATCTAACTACAAGTGTTTATATAGCCCATCCCGTCGAGCCGAGGCCCCCTCTGCGCAGCCCGGAGCTGCCTCCCGTCTTCCCACGCCTCACACCGGCTGCCGGGCTTTCCTGTACGGAATCCCATACTTGTAGTAGGTCATGTCCAGCCAGGGCAGGCGCTCCATACACGGGCGGGTCTTCAGCAGCCGGGTGGCCGGGTTCTCGACGATCCACATAAGGGGAGCAAAGTGCATTATGATCTCGAAAGCGCTACGCACTAGCGTGTCGCCCTCTTAGAGCCGTCGGGCGCGCGTCGTCAGGGCACGGCTATATTCCATGCAGACCGGGCTGGCCCAGACCATGTCTGTCCCGACGGGAACGTCCTCCGGATGTCGCACAAGATCGTGGGCTCAAATTTCGACACGATGGACGACTTCTCACATCCTGTCATGAATTGTATTGTCGCCGCCCCCCCCCGCATCCCGTCGTGTAGCCCGTTGCAGATCCTATCGTGGCCGCGTCATTAGCCCGTCGTAATCCCCCATATGACCCGTAACACGTCCTTCTTCCAACTCTTTGTCCCGGCTGTCCTCTCATGGATACATAGCGTGTTATAGTCTAGTCACTCGATTCGTTATGGACTTGTTTTGCGTAGCCTGTAACGCAATGCTTTCGTTAACCTGTAAGTGTTTATATGGACCATCCCATCGTATAAGTCTTAATATGTCATATCTTATTAGAAACTGTATTGTTGCCCCTCCACGTCCCGTCGTCCGTCGTAAGTCCTGTCGTAGCCCCGTTATTAATCCGTCGTGGCCCCCCGTTTCCACATAGCCCGTGGCACGTTTTTCTTCTAATTCTTTGGCCCATTTGGTGATGGCTGTCCCCTCATTAATGCATGGCCTGTCGCAATCCAGTCACTCGATCCGTCGTAGACTCGTCTCGTACTGGCTTCGTCGCGGATGCTATCGTGTAATGCACGGGTGTTTATATATCCTAACATATCCTAAGTATCCTATCGTGTAAACCCCAACATGTCATATCCTGTCATAAATTGTATTATTGCCCTCCCCCGTCCCATCGTATAGTCCGTCGTAGATCCCGTCTTTATCCCGTCATTGGCCCATCGTTGGTTGCATGGCCCGTCGCAGGTCTTGTCTTGAACTTGGCCCGGTTGTGGCCCGTCGCATGTCCCGTCGTGCCTCCTTGATTTGTTGCCATGTCCTGTTATTTGGCCCATGATGTCTTGTCTTGGCCCCCGTATCGCGTTGCGCCGTGACCTGTTAGACGTCCCGTCGTGCTGCGTCGTACATCTCGTCGCCCTGTTGACGGCCCCCATGCACGTCGTGTAGCCCTACCATTGAAAGTGGCGTCTTCCCGCAGGTCTCGCCTGTCATTGTCCGCGTGTCATACGTCCCGTCGTGTGGCCCGTCGTAGGTCCCGGTCGTGGGCTTGTTATTTCCGTCACACAGTTCTTTTGCTACGCCGTCGACAATCTTGTCTTGTTGTTTGACCCGTCACAGGCCTCGTCGCACCATTCTTTAGTCCCGACGTTGTGGCCCCATTATTGGTCGAGAGTCGTGCGCCGTCGTGCTTTCTTTTTATGTGATAATAGGCCATGTGATTAGAATAGACTTGTTGCAATTCCCGCGGTGGCCCATTTCTGTGCCTCTTTGTCTTTATATGACCGCGTTTCTGTCCATTTGTTTTTCGGTGTCTGCACGCTTGCGTGTTTCTGCGTGCTTTTGTTTGTACCTGTGTTTCTTTGTATTTGTGTCTGTGTTTACGTGTGCGTTTGCGAGCTTCGCGCCTTTTTTGTTGAGGTTCACGCGTTTTTTTGGCGAGGTTCAATTTTCAAAAGTTTGTCGTGGTCAAGCCGCGCCCTCGCCAAGGCCTAGGCCGTGGTGGGTGTGCTAAGAACAGAGCAAATCTTGTAGAGCCCGCGCCGGCAAGACATTTTTTGCAACTCAGACACATACTTTTTTTCATATCATATATGTTAAAGCATATATACTCTTCGCACGCGAAAAGCATACCGTTCTCTAAACACAGGTTGCGAGATGCACTGAGGGCAGGGCTGGCCGCGATAAGGTCATACTAAAGAGTCAGTGACAAGCGATCGCCTGAGCAAAGTGAGAACGGATCCGCGGGCTGTTGGCCTCAAAAGATCCATCCACATATGCGGTTGTTACAAACGAAAGCGAAACCGCGATCGACCAGAAAACATCCTAGGCGCAAGCAAAGCCGAAACTCTCAGAAGACGGGCGCAAGATTTCAGCCAAAATGGCTATAGACAAGCAGATATATGCCCTTTATCTAGAAGATACAACGACTTCGTTCAAAGCCCGGACCATTTTTCCTAACAATTTCCTAAATATTTCGATAATTACACTCCAAACCATTTTTCCGAAATATTCCGGATATTTCGACGATAACATTTCCCGAAATATTTGGAATATTTCGGGAATACAGTCCCCGAAATATTCGAAATATTTCGAGAAAATGGTAGATGGCCACGATTTACCCGAAATATCTAAATATACCCGGACAAATTTAAATAAGCAGTCCGTAAGATTATGCAACGGCTATATCTTCCAAGCACTACCCGGACTAATTTTCCGAAATATCCAGGATTTTTCGGAAAAGCGATCCGGGAAAACGCACGCAAATGCGACGAGCAAATTTCCCAATTTCGCTTTATAGAATAAATATTATCAATGTATTGAAATATATTTCTATATATTTAATATATACAAATATATTAAATATTATAAAACATAAATCATTTATTTTTAATTATGTTTATAAAATTAATTACAAATAATTACTTATTTATATTCATATTATCAATATTTTGCAAATTCTTCCAAGAATAGCATCTAAACCCCAACATAAAAGTTATATTCTAGCATAGAATCTAATATCCCCTTCTTACCAAAGCGGGAAATATATATACATAATATTAAAAAATATTTATTTTTATAATAATAAAAAAAGTTTATAAAATAATATAAATATATATATTATTGTTTTTTAAGGGTTGTCCTTTTCAATACAGCTCGCCAATATATCCCGCCGAGTATCCCGCCAAAACAACTCGCCATCAATGGATCCCGCCGAGTATCCCGCCAGAGCTACTTGCGAGTCCCGCTATCCCGCCAAAGCGGAGATCCGAATATCCCGCTGAATATCCTAGAGTAGCTCGCCATCCCAACCAAGATCCCGCCGAGTATGCCACCAAAACAGCCAGCCAGTGGATCCCGCCGAGCAACCTCCTAAGTATCGCAGAGTAGCTAGTAGGTCCCGCCGAACATCCCACCAGCCAGGATCCCGCCGAGTATCACCAGAGACTGGCAAGCTGCTCTGGCGGGATACTGGCGGGATCCACTGGCGAATACTGGCGAGCCCTCCGGCGCGACACTGGTCGGATACTCGGCCCGATGAGGAGGGCGGCCATGACATGCTGGATCATGCGCGATCCCTGCCGCAGTCTTCAGGCGGCTCTTCCAACACAATGCCTCAGACTCAGAAAACCATCAAGTCTCGTGCAGGGAGGCCTTGGAAGGAGCCTTCACCGGCTCAACAATCAGGCTTTGCCATTACATGGTTGAAGACTACGTAGAGGCTCAGAGGCTCTCTTCAGCGATGCCAACCTGCTGGCGCTGCATGCTAAGCGTGTCACCGCCTTTCCACAGGATTTGACCCTTGCGAAGGAAATCCGGGGTCGCGCCATGGCAAAGCATCGCGAGAACAACGAGTTTTCGGTGTTGAGGAAAATTTTGGTAGAGAGAAAGCAGAAGCGAGCGTGTAAGCCCAAGTGAGGCAGCTTGCCTTTGCAGGCCGAAGTAACTTCCTCGTCCTATCGGGTCAATGATCACGCGGCCCCCCACAAAGCACCTCTCGCGCCCCAGGCAAGCCGCAAGCTGCGGCCCCCCAGAAAATGATTCGGGGGTATGGTTCGCCCAGGTCCCTCTGCCCGCGTAGGCTAAGGAATGGGCACAGCAAAAAATACAGACCCATATGGCTCCTCTAACCTCTAGTTCTAAAATACTTTTTTGTCATCTCACGGACTACGTTGATCAACACTAGGTCTCGGGAGTCAGCCTGTGCAATCCGGCCACGCCTCCTATCGCCGCTAGGCAATTTGCCTGCTAGCTTTAGCTATGGGGCTGCACCCCTGTGCCGCCGACCCTCATCACTTGGTCGTGATGCGTTGCCTACATCCGGCACCTCTGCATCACCGGCTCGGGATTGAGGTTTTGCTTACCTATGCGGAACCCTCGCAAGACATCGCGTATATGCAGGGTTTAGGCCGTGTGGCTGACAGTCAGAGCAAGAAGAGTACTGTTCCGCCTGTGTTGGTGCAGCCTGTGTAGGCTTGGGCTCTTTTGGACTACCCGTACTAAGTGGGCACTTGCCTGCAAAAACGGGGGCCACCCTTCCGCGGAGCTTCCACGAAATCCGCCACCTGCTTTGGTCCTCCTGGCTTGCTGTTGGTAACTGTCCTTCTAGTAAGCGTTAGCTTTCTGCTTCTAATCTAAACGTTTCTGCTTGCTTTTCCACGCGCACAAACTGAACCAATTCATATCAAGCCACAAGTGGCTCGGTGCACATTTTCAAGAAATATGTCCCTCCCAACTAAATCAGGTTGCGGAAAAACATTGCCGCTCGTGTGCAGTTTGACTACCATATGGGCCGGGACAAACATTTCTCAAAGTCGTATCATGTTCCTGCTACACACCAGCTTGCGCTGTCATTCCCAGTTGCTTCGCAACTGACAATACATGTGTGAGCTAAAGCAAAGCGTTAACAGGGAATGGCTCAGCAGCCTTGCAGGCACTCTGGAGCAAAGCACTCCTCAAGAAGACTTCGCGTCAAGCCCTGATTGCCCTGCACATCCAGCTTGCTCAACGCCGGACAACACTCTTGTAGCAACTTTCTCATTGAGCTGCCAGCGCGTATGTGACACCATCGTAGGCTCAGAAACTGCAGATGGCGGAGACCATCTCCGATGGATTGGCTCAAGGAATCTACTGCATCTTCAGACTGCAGGAAACATCGGTTGCCTTCTAGGTCCAACTTCTGCAGACTGGAACAGCAGCGCAGAAGGGTGCCAATGGCCTGTGCGGATTTGCCCGACAGTCGGCACCTGCTCAGACCCAAGACCCGCAACTTGGGCAAACCTGAAGAGGTCAAAGACGATACAAGTGCCACAACTTCTTCCGAGTTCTGCAGGTTGACATTTGCCAAGTCGAGCTCCTCGATCGCTTGAGCGCCAGCCACAATATTCCGAAGGCCCAAGCGTCCAAGCTCTGTCAACCGCGGCTGGCAGTCAAAGCTGAGGCATGGCTTGTTGCCTGCTAGTGCGTTCCCCAGGTGACAGCGACCAATCAACAAGGCGTTGCGGTAGAATGGATCCTGAGCGCACTGCATCATGCTGCTGTCTTTGCCCATGAAACTAAGGCTGAATCATTCAGGCTGGAGTTGAGAGCATCGTGCGTTCTCCAGAAGGAAGTCGCCAAGCAGCCTGTCAGAATCTGACTGCTGGCAAGCGGTTTGCCTCCAGCCCGCCCGCCTGAGCCTAGTGCACGCACAAAAAGTGCTTCCTGGAAGCTGAGATGGCCTCAAGCAACCGAATATGTCCGAAGCAGAAGTGCAATGCGAACCAAGGCCATGACTGAATTGGAATTCCCCCGTGAGCTCACCCAAGGTCAAGACTTTGATCTGAGTCACGTAGTCATGTGAGAATATCCACCAAATGCTTTAAACTGACATGGGATTTCGGTGCGTGACACAAAGTGGATCTGGAAAAGGCTGGCACCAGTGGTACAGATCCATCCTGCCAAAGCATATCCGCATATCTGTAGTTCATGTCGGAATTTGCAAACCCGAACCATCTTGTTTCTGATGTACATGTATTGGCCAGGTTTTAATGCCCCCGTACGAACTGCCTCTGACCACGAAAGGAAAAGAGTTCAGTATTCTCGGACCAAACCCGAAAGCATTCACTTCGGCACGTAAGGATCTCCTCCAGCAGCTGGGACCAAAGCCCAAGGAGGTGAGGCTTTCCCTGCGCGTGGGTGTTTGGGTGTGGCAAAGCAGGGAGTTGGAAAACCCAAACCCATGATGTTCTTTTTCCTTTTGGTTTCCTTTGAAGGCAGCCCAAAAACGGGTACCCCCAAAAAACACACAGCCAAATGGACCCAATTGGGCTTTCAAAGAATTTCAGGTATGGGTACCAAGCAACAAACACAAGCAGGCCTTGCCTTCAAGGCCACGCGGAGATCCTCTGCCTGTCGTGAGCACGGCAGTCCCAGTGTCAAAGTGGGACCCCAAATGGGGGCGGTCCTTGTGTCCCATCTCCCTTTAACCCAACCTGATTTCAGGCACCAGCTTCAAAAAACACGCAAACCTTGTGAGCGCTCAAAAGGTCATGTGAAATCCGCTGATGAGCATCCCAAACCAAGACCTGAAAGGTGCGGCGCTTCGCCAAGTGGTTGGCCTTCGCAGCTCGCACGAGAAGTTCGAAGCGACCGGAGAGGGCTGAGCTTGTGGCAACAGCAATAGTCTCCAGCATCTCAAAGGTGGCCTACAGCCAACTCCATGATGTCCACCAAAGGGTCGTTAAAAATACAGGGCCATTTCTTGCCAAATGGGCAGATCATGGCAAATGGGCAAATGGCATGATACAGCTGTCACCGCGAATACCCGACACGCGCACATTCCAAGGGATCGGCATCCACCTGGTCCTGGCGTGAGTGACACAAACAATGCGAAAGACAGCCCATCTAAACGGGGGGAACTCATTCTCCCAGGCTACGGGGCCAGGCAGATAAAAGTAGTCAACTCAGTTCAGGCCTCGGAAAGTTGGCGCTTCAGCGTTGAGAACATCCCCATTTCCTTGGCATGTCTCGAACTCCCAGTGGACAGAATCTCAATGAGGGCAGAACATAGAGCTCGTAGATGTCTGCAGGCAAGCGATGAATCTCAACTGCCTCAAGCAAAGACCGGGCACTCGCATGTAATGCGTGTCAGCATCTCCTTTTTCAAGTCTGCAGCGAATCTAATTAAGCGCCAGTCAAAAGCGCAAGCCAAGACAGAAAGCAAAACCTCGATGCGAGCAAGACAGCTGAAATGGAATCGCCCAAACCGACGGGCGCACCGGTATGCAGCGAATCTCATCAAAGACTTGTAGGCGTGCCTGCGAGTCTAACGAGGCGGTAGGCATGAGGCGACAACATCTGAACAGCAGACACAGCTGGATGCAGAGGAAGACTGATGGGGGAAGCGTTGCATCATGTGGCTCGTTTTCATTATCTGTCAGCCGGGCTGCGGGCGTGATGCTTCAAATGACGCCCGGACAACATGACTTTGTTTCCTCAAGGGAACATGGGAAAATTGGATTGTCCCCTGTCTTTTTCGGAGAGTTGGCATTGAAATGGTTGCATTGTGTCACCATCAACGTCACCTGCCTTGCCCAAGACGTGTGAGTGCCGACGGTTCCGTTTTGGGCTTTCCCTCTGACCCCAAATGCTCAAGTTGAGTATACAAATGTGTGCCATCAAAGCTCCATGCCATGACTTTTTGGAACCTATGGGCCATGGTATGTGTCAAAATAGGAATGAGGCCCCTCAATTTCCCTGCAAACCAACTTGATTTCAGGGTAACTTCAGAAAACAGAAAGCCATAGCGCTATTGTCAATCGAGATGAGCAACCAACTCGGAGCTCCAGATGTGCCTCCAGCAGCTCGCCTGACTGAAACCCAGCGGTGGTTGATGACTCGAAAAGGGACATGCCCTGGTTTAAGTCCATTCTCCCCGAGGTCCAAAAAGAGCCCTGTGGCAACATACAAATCGCCTTGAGCTGTGCCAGCCAAGCGTTGCCGCAGGAAGGCAACATGCTCCTGACATTAAAGGGCGACTTTTCGGCGGGGATCTCATGCGGAATTGGGATGTGACAATGTGTCAAGAGAGGAACATTGACCCCGCAAATGATTGGGCTTCGGTGCTCCTTTTGGCTTAAACCAAACTGGAAGGGTGCACACACACACACACTCACGATTCTGTTTAGGGGCAATGAAAAGCATCCAAGAAACGCAGACTCTGGACTCGCTCTTTTTGCAAGCTCCTGCGCGTCTGCTTGCCTCAAGCGGCAAAATGACTTGCGACAAATGAGTCACAATGAAAAGCATTCATACATGGGTTTGTCTCTAAATGGGGGAGCCCCAAAAATGGGCAAAAAGAGTAGACCTACTTGGGGAGGCGGGTGTTGGATGTTCCACCAGTCATCAAAACCTATCGAACGGGTCGACCCAAAACTAAATTCAAAGGCCAAACAAAGGAAGGCTGCCGGCCGAGTGGCTGGGACTGTCAAACTTCAACTGTGCGGTTTTGATTGTAGCCCATGTGTGAGTCATGGAATGCTGCAAAATCTGGGAGCAAGTCCAAATTCGCAGTCCAGAAACCATGCATTGTGGGCTCGGGCCAAAAGCCTTATGGTCCAAGGGTTCCCTTTTGTGAGGGTCTAGATACATTTCACGGGCCACCCCCTAGTGCGCTCGCTATGTGTCCTCAAGCACACCGCGCCTGAAGCACTCCAGGCCATCAGCATGATGCACTTGCACCTTTCGATTGCTTTAATGTTGATCTTTTGGTGTTCCTGTGGTTCTTGTGGTTCCTGTGCCTCAATGTTTCCCTTCATCTGCCCCTTCAAGAAACTTTTGGAAGCTGCCCCCAAAGGGCCCCCTGCGAAGTTGAATCAGTCTCCAAAAGGTTCCTTGAACCTGTCAACAGCTCCTGGATTGAAGTTTCCGCCTCCCTCGCGCCTTCACTGGATGAGAGCACTGCTGGAAGGACAGGCGCAGATCGCAGCTGAAGTATCGGAACTTCTCTGGGCCCGGGCGGGCGAAGAAGTTGGCACACCGCAGTATCTGCAGCTCAGCTCTGTCCCCGTCCACCAAAGTGGAAAAGCTGACCAAAAGCTCCAGGACTTTTCGAAGCGATCCTCACTTGGCGGTCTGAAATTCTGGGTTCCGGGAAATGAGTTCGCGAGAAACACATGGACTTTCACTTTGGCGGCCTCCATCGCAGAGCTTTCGGGGGGCGATGCTCACAACACCTTCGCCAAAGAACAACTTTTGCGAGGTCCATCGCGGAGCTTTTGAGGGGCAACACAAAAGACCAAATATTATTGGCCTTCCCTTTCATATTGATACAAGGACCGTTCAGACGACTCCCACTCGCAAAGCATGGACACAAAGCAGTGACCACAATTTGGAACTTAAATCTGGAAATTGAGAAGCCAAAGGTCAAAGTATGGCTTTGGAGAAACTGAGGATCCGGCATCAGGACAAACAAAGTCGGATCGAATCACGCCCTGTTGCCGTGCGTGAAGACTCAGGCGTCGCACGTCCGCCTTTGCCTCTGAACCTTTTTGGCTGGGAAGTTGCAGCGCATTTCCATCGAGTCCGGCTTCTGAAAGCAAGCGGCATGCTACGCAAAAGAACACGGCCGCCAAAATTTCATGGTCCACGTCCTTTCCGTTTGAGTTGCAGGTGACCTCCTCCTTGCCTTGGAACTGCATCTCCTTAAGTGCTTGTTGTTGAGACGCGGAAAAGGACTTGAAGATGGTGTCCTGCTGAGTCCTTGCGACGCTCAAGCCCATCAAATGCTTGAAGAACTCGTTCCGTTGTAGCTGCTTCTCGATAATCCTTTGCTGTTGGTCCTGGCCCAAGGGCTTCAGGTTCCTTGGCTTGATCGGGCTGCATGTCCCTTGCAACAACTTTTGCGAAGTTGAGGGACTCCTGTCATATAGTTGATCGCTGACAAGTTGGACTTTTAGTGGGATAGCGGCGTCTAAACTGGAATGTTTCAGCTGTGTCATAAACCCGATTCGAAACCCGAGTCTCAAAGTCGAATAGGCCTTTGAACATCTCCTCACTTTCACTTGTCAAACAATGATGCTGACAACATATTTACTCCAACCCACTTGTTTAGGGGAAAATGGGCTATACACCATCCAGCCTGTCCAAAGTCTATGGCTGTGCCAGGGTTCATGATCACGAAGTCTCGACTGTAGAGGCGCTTTCGAATGCCCTCGGGCCGGGAGGTGACCAGAAGTGGTACACCCATCGGTACCTCAGCTCACTGGATTTCCATGTGGCCATGGGGAAAAACAAACACAATTGCACTAGTTTGCTTTTTGCTTGACTGAAAGAAGGATGGCTCTAAAAACAAAAGGAAACCCTTCCCCCACAAAGCAAGGACACAAGGGTGGACTCGGGCAACTGGGATGCCAAGGTCTTGGTCACAAACTCCTCCACCGCCAGCTTCATACTGGCAGCCTCGTCAAAACTGGGGCCAATTCAGACTTTGGGTTTAGTCGGGGATGTGTCACAATAGGGGAATGCCCAAGAAGCTGCTTTTGCTTCTGGTTGTCCTTCAAACAGAAACAAGACACGTAGGTGCAAACACCATAAAACCAGGTAGTATAACCACATTCTCAAATGGACCTTTTTGGGAGGTTTCGTCGTTGCTCAATTGCTTTGCTTGTGTTTGGCGGGGCCGTGGCTTGACCTCAAGTAGCGTTCCTAGTGGTTGTCCTTCTGAAATTCAAAGTGCTAGTTGGACCATCTGTTTTTGGACTACGAGAAACCATGTGCGTCTCACCAAAACAACATAAAAACAACACGCATGCCATCGACCATCGACCATGTCTGAGCGCCTCATCAATGCCATCCAGCATAACTATGAGGCTGCGCATCTCGAAGGCTTGCTCCAACATACTCCTAGGGTCCCAAGCTTGGGTGATTTAGGGTCTGTGTCAAAATACGGGGACCCTAAAAACTAGTGGTGTCATTTTGGTTTTCCTCTACACCACAGTGAAAACGGTACCCTTACGCACAGAGACACACACACACACACACACCGATTTGTGCACACAAAAAACAGTCCCAGTTCGGTTGCTTTCCGTTTTCGCACCTGGTGGCGCCCTCCGGGAATTCCGTCTGGATGTAGAACAAGACCAGGTTCGACGGAGGCCCCTCCTCGACTAAAAATGGATAGTGCCCCCCAAAAAGGAACGGACCCTGCCTTGGAGGTTTGGCGCAACATCCGGGCCTGCACTTGCCATCACTTCTCAAGCTTGAATACAAAGAACTGAGAACCACGAACAAGCAATACGCTGGGTCAACGAAAACAAGAGTTTGCAAACTTACTTTTTGAGTAGGCTTGAACATGACATATATCACAAGCAATTTTGCGACGCCCCAACATGTCCATTTGTGCCGTATCCCACAAAGCAAACCTAAGGAGTCTGCCAGTTTCTGGATGGGAATGAGCAAGGGAGCCAGGCGGAGCCTTGGGAAAATCCCAAGGAAAGCCTCCCATCTCACGGTCTCAGGTCCCTGCTGAACATCCAAACTCTCGCTACTCAGCTCCTGCGAGAGGCAAGTTGGCTTCATAAATTCAGAGCCGAAGCCCTTGCAGCTTGCAGCCATTGAGACCATTTGCGACTATTATTGACTAAGGGTGGGCCAGCAACGGCCATAGCCATTCAATGACTCCCCTGGCTACCCCGTGCTTGCAAATTACCACTACAGCAAGTAAACAGGGGAAACTATCTTGTAAAACTGCAAATCCTAGAGACAAAAAGCCCTGGTCACAGCTAGAGTAGTACCTGGGGGAGCGGAGCATAGTTCTTTCTCGATCCAGGATCAAGCTAACATGGACCACCCAGCCGAAAGGGACAATTATTGGCTTTCTGTCCCCAATGTGTTGCCCTTGAACCAGTGCACTGCTCACTTGAACAAGTTAACGCAGCGAGCCTGCGCCAGCAAGAAAAGCAACTGCTGCATGGACCAAGTCCTGAACCGTCCATCAGTCCACATGAGCGCCCAAATGCAACAAACATTACCAAGCAGTTTCCTATGGTTGTCCCGAAGCCCACTAAAACCTGCCCTTTCTCTCAATGTGAGGACTTCCACTGCACCTTCAACCTCAAAGCTTTAGCTATCCTCTGTCCTGTGGTACAAGGTTCAAAAGGAACCGCCCTCCCCCCCAAAAAAAACAACAAGAAAGAGTCCCAACAAATCAGGGTTTTTAATAATTAAAGGGGTTCCAGCAACTCAAACATGTGTACAGCATCCTAAAGGAACCCACTTGTTAGAACCACTGGTAGAACCACCTGTTAGAACCCAGTCACGGTCAACAATAAGGCATCACGGCCCCATTCATCCAAGCGACTTCCCCGTGCCGGGCCCCGCTCGAACCAGCACCGGCTGGGAGGAATGCGCGCCATGCAAGCGGCCTGCGCATGCCAAAATCTCAGTGAACGAAATCCTTCAATTCCAAAATGGCTTCAGAATCAGACAACCCTAAAACCTCAAACCCTTAACCTCCAGATCAGATGGTTCTTACTACCCCTCAGGGGTTTAATGGGATATACAACCACTAGCCACCTGAACGGAATTCTCTCCACACTGCCGTGGAAGCCAGCAGAGATGCGGTCGCTTTTTGAAATTGTCTAAACCAGGCATGCTTCAAGCGCTTTCGACACTGGTATTAACGGTTCGCCTTGTCGAAATCGAGAAGGGTGCAGTAGGAGAGGAACAATATCAGCAATATCTCGCACCTGCCAATGTGCCAGCAACAACTTGCCTCTTGCAGCTACCAGGTAAGCTCCTCGCACGACCAAACTGGGGCTGCTGTACCTGTGGCAGGTCTGGGGGGAAGTCATTGAATTCAATTGGCTGCGTTTCAAAGCATAGCTATTGACGTGGGGTGTCCATATAAATGTAAGGAACCAAAAAGGTGGATATCTGCACCTAATTTTGGCTGGGACTGTCCTTTCCAACCCGTCATCTACCCGGGTTTTCATTATGGCCCACTTGTTCACTCCGTGGCTGTTTCGAGGGCACTCCAGCAATGGCCTGGGCTCGCTTGATGGAAGCTGCGTGCCTCGGTCTCGCCCCTAGCCCCGAGGTCCACCCAGGATTAACCCCCAGGCTGATGGCTGTGTCCCATTGAGGAGACCCCTCACTTGGGGAATGCGCCATCCGCCATGATGAATCCCGGGTCAACAGTACTGGCTCCAAGATCAGACAGGCGGCAGTGCTGATGAGGAGGTGCCGTCAGAAAATTTGACGACATATCCTTAACTGGCAAAGTTCCGACCATTCGAGCCTGAAGTGGAGGAGCCCTTTCTTTGTTTGCTTCCGCCCCTTCTATGCACAGGATACGTCAAAGGTTGTAATTTGCAAGTGCCTACACTTCCCCAGAAACCAATGATGAACTATTTGATGCAACTCTCCCTTTGTCTTGTCACACGTTTATATGCTCAACAAGGTCCAGTTGAATCCCTCCGACTCTTTCAAGGAATCATCGGCCTAAAGTTGCGAACGGCCAATCTAGGGAAACGCCTGAGCCCCTCCACCCTCCGAACATTCTTAGAACCTTCTTAGGGCTTCTGAGAACCTTTCCATGGGGTAGCGGTACTGGCCCTACAGTCGCTCCCTATCGTCCTTCTGCTGTCTGAAAAATTGCGGGTCTGGAAACATGAAGAAACTATCCAAGCACCTGGTGGTGTGCCTAGGGGACATCAAACAGCTACGTAGAGGCTATTTACTCTACAAATGAACATGGAACCCGGAAAGGGCGACCCCCAAAGAGGAGATGCCTGTCAAACCCCCAGAAGGAGATTCCTCTACAAAGGCGTCCTTTTGGTTCCCCGTTAATCTAGGGAGTAGCAACCGTCTGCCCTCCGACCCAGGCAGCTTCTGTCGAGGAGCGGCCGTGCTTTTGCAGATGCTCCACCGTGCCCTGCACTTTTCGGTCTCCACAATTCGTTGCACGCGAAGGGCTGTGGGTGTGGAGGCTGTCTTTTTTGGAGTTGTTACGTGCCTGAACCAGAAGGAAAACAAAATTCCTTCTTTGCGCATGTAAAATGCCACCCAAAACTGCTGTTTGAATACCCAACAAGGAAACACCCAAGAACGCCTCTAGTCAACTTGCAGTTTCGCGCCTCGCGCCCCTGTGCCCACACGCGGTCGCCCAATCGGAAAGCCGTGTCTGATACCCACTCCAGGTCGTCAAACGCCATGTGCCTTGGCCGGCTGCAGGTACTGCCAGGCACCGATTGCACAGATTCACTCGCCTCACTGCATCTGCATCGGACAGGGGCCTCGCCTTGCAAATCAGGAGCCAAACAAACATCCCCAATGGCACGCTCCAAACCAAGGTTGGTCGGCCCCTCTTGCAGACCATGACGTGTACGAAAACAAAAAAATGTGACATGGGCTGGGGTGGTGCTCATGCATGCTGAATGCTGGCTGCAAACACTCTGCATCTCTCACTGCCTGCCTCCATTTCAATCCGCACAATCTGTTCAGAGATGTCGACACCTCTGAGCACACATGCAGGCGGGATTTGAGCCACAGTAAATATTTCTGCTGTGCCCCGATTGGATTACATTGGGCTTTGATGAGCAAAGTTGCAATTGGGTGAGTGTTACCAAGGTCATCCGCCATCCGCTGCACTAAAATTCGATAAATATTGGCCATGCTCGTTTCGCTGCTGCCGGCGGAGGCACGGTTGCCCGTGATGGCATCCTCAATGTATCGTCCATCCTGGGATGATCAGCATGCTCTACCGCCCACGTGTGCGCCATTCACTGTGGCAGCAAAATGCTCTCCTGGATGATTTGCCGACAATACCTCAGCGACTTGAATTTGGCAACAACCAGCGCATACCCTTTTGGCGTCCTTTTGACCAAACCTGAAATGGGTTCCGAGCATCAACAAAAAACAAAACCCATAAACCAACCTGCCAGCGAGAATTCAGAGAAGCTGCGCCACTCGGGCTTGCTCAAATCCGATCACGCTTTCAAACCGCTGAGTGCACTGGTTCATCTCCTCAGATGGAGGGCAGGAATGCTTCGGGATGCTGGGATATGGTGTCCGGTGGGTGCCTCTCATGTAGTGGTTCCTTGATGCCGTGACATCAAAAAGCGTTTGGTTGGATGTCTCATAAGTCCCTCTGACTCTACTCTACAAACCTGAGCAGGTATGGCTGGGAATCACCAAGTGGGCAGCGTTTTTTTCTTGGAATCAAGGATTTATACAAAAAGGGAACTGCATCATGTCCGCGTAAGCAATTTAGCTGGGGGACGTAGGCGCGCGGAGGCATCGCGTAGGCATTTCGCGCACATCCTTGTATTTTTTCTTGCGTAGGCGCGCGCGTAGGCACTTGATGGAGTTGTTATGCATTGTCTGCAGCTTTATGTTTTGCAATGCATATGGATGGGCATGGGTTTGTTCTGCAGTCTTCGCGTAGGCTCCGCGTAGGCCCCGCGTAGGCATTCGCGTAGGCTTTCAAGGCATTTTGGGTGCGTAGACCTTTTCTTGCAGCCAGATCCTTGGACAGATGTTGGATTCTCGCTTGTGCTGCACTTTTGATCTTAGAGCCGGAGCTGCCAACACTGCACTTGCACTGAAAGGTTTCGATTTTCCAGTTGGAGCTGCCACAGTGCACTTCGACACTTGAACTCAACGTTTGCCCGCGTAGGTGGGCACCTGGAAGCTGACTTGCAGGCGCCCCTCGCAGGCCGCGTAGGCTTGCGTAGGCCTTCGCGTAGGCGCGCAAGTAGTGTATAGGCCCCGAACCACCAAAAAACACTGCTCAAATGCTGATTCAGAGCCACGACAAAGAGGATCCCTGGGAAATCAAACATGTTATCACGCTTTGGCGGTGCAATCATCTTCCACATCATCTGCTTCTTCTACATCATCTGCATCTGTGTCAGACAACGGTGGACTTGGCATTGCAAAGCTCGAGATGGAAAAAAGCCGCGCGCGAGTTTCCTGCGTAGGCGTCCGCGTAGGCGCGACAAGAGACAAACGTGCGCGCGTAGGCGCCCCTTGCAGTCGCGGAGGCGTTGCGTAGGCGCTCGCGTAGGCATGTGTGCAGTGTATAGGCCCCGAGCACCAACAAAAAAACACTGCCCAAGTGAGAACACGTAGAGTTGTTGTAGGTGGACTGAGAGGAGATGAATGCTTGACCCAGCAAGGCGATCAAGGCCCACAAACTGACCAGGGTGGATTCGAAAACTTAAGCTGGGCCATCTCGGCTGGCTGTGTTTCTTTGCCAAAGCGCATTCAAATCCATTTGATGCTCCAGCTCCTGCGAAGCAATTGAATCGACTGGAACCTGCTGAAAAGAGCGTACTCTGGCTGTGTCCTTGCCGGCCTGGGTGTAGCTTAAGCCTCGGCGCGGTGCTGTCTGGGCGAGCTCGCTTGGAGTATGCGGCGAAGGTGCGGTGACGGCTGCCATGCTCCCTGCGGCATCGAGCGCCGGCCCAGCAACAAGCGTGGCTTGGTGTAAGTTGTTCAAAGCGGGGGAATCCATGACTCGTGTGGGGCCCCACAATTTCTGCCATCCGTAAGGATGTCAGCAAAATGATCGAGCGCCTTCGCAGGGAAAGCTGTTATTCCCCCTCAATCGACAGAGCGCATCCAGCATTGCCGCCTGCCAATGCACTCCAGAACTCGCGCTTGCACAAGGTGTTCGCCATCATGCCTTGGTGGCTATGCGCATACGCAAAAAAGGGTGTTGTGGGTCAGTGGGAAAACACACATGCCCCCCAAAAAATACAGGTCAAAAATCCCACCCGCTACCCGCCAAGATGCAAGATCAATACCTGGCTTCCTGCGGCGAAAGCGAGTGGTGCATGTGAGCCGTCAAAATATGCGATTGCCACAATCGACATGGGAAAGGCGCGTCCCTCGGCTTTCGTGCAAAATTGAGCGAGTCCCCCGATGCCCCTCAACCTCAAATTGAAATCAAATATGGTATGTTTTGACCGCGGCTTATGTGAGTCATAGTACTAATGGAGTCTACGCGGGTGTCCGTGGCTTTTGTGTGGCTTTGGCATTCCATGCCAACAGCATCATTAGTCCAGTGGGTGTGCCGCAACGCAGAGCATTTGTGCTACCGCAGTACCCGTAGCATCACCAGCAACACCCAGCATGACTGAGCATCACCAGCAAGGGGCAATTGTTCAGCTGCCAGACTGGTGTTCGTACTCCGGCGCGTGGGCATTATTGCATCGGCGTCCTTCGTGTTCCTGTTCCCTTGGTTTTGTGGGGAATTTGGCGAGTTCCTCCACGCCCCTCCCAAATGAACCACAGACTTTATAATAATTTGGCCCGAAATTTCTGCAAGGCGCCGGCTCCTGCCATCCTCTGGACAATGTTGGCACTGACCACAGTCCGAGGTCGTGGGTCCACCATCTCTTCCTAGACATTCCCAATCATTCCCACACCTCCCGGGGGACATGGGAAATGTCCGCCTCCCGACCCCTCACCTGGCCACCTGGTTGGTTCCTGACAGCCCCCGAAGCGCGCCTCGCCATTGTCCACTTTCACCAGGAGCTCGCCAGTCTCCAGCTGCTTCACAAGTGTGGCACATCGATCCTGGCAAAATTCGTCCCCTCAGACTCGGCGTCTTACTCCAAGTAAGGCCTTCATCAGGACGCAATGTGGGTCTTTTGGGTGGATCTTGTGGTCCCGGAACTTGCATCTGAGTCTTGACAAAGAGTAGCATGTTGATTGTGCCGCTGCTTTGTTTTGAATGGCAATGTGTCCATGTAAGGGCACCCAACAAAAAGCGTGGCTTTTCCTTTGGTTTTCCTCAAGCCAAGGTCAAAAGGGTACCAACTGCCAACTCCAAATCTGGTACGCCGCGCAACGCGAAAGCTGCCTTAAATTTGTCTTTTGAACTTGAAGCCATTGTCTCATATCCCATCCTGCACTCTGGTGGCTGAGGAGAGGCCCAGTCGCAGCCCCGGCTCTGAGGCCGCGTATGCAAGCCTTGGGGGAACAGGTGACTGCCTTTCTTCTTATGGAGGCATACTTGAACAGGGAACCTCAAGGGACAGCGCCAAAAGGGCGGTTCGAAACTCTCGGCCAACTTGGGCGGCTCTTTCGTTTTGAGACGTACAGTAGCCGACTTGCTACCCCTTTCCTCCCAAAGCATGCATGGTCACCTGATCATGTGAACGTGCATCATTGTGCTATATTCCGGATCTGCCTGGTTAGCTGACAATCTCACTTGTTCCCAAGAGGACAATGGGCAAATTGGGTTGTCCCTCGTGTCCTCCCTAAACTAGCATCAATTGCTGACTTGATCCATAATGATGGTTCACATTGATCTCATACATGGTCTGGATGAGACTGCTGTGGGCTCAACATTTCTGCAGAGGGCGCGAATTCCCTGGTGTGGAAAAATATCTATGCATGGCCAAATCCATTTATGAATTTGGAGCCCAAGCGAGCTGCCAAGGTTTCGCTTTCCGCTCGCTTGTTGGCATGGTGTCCCCCTGCCTTGTCGGCTTGATTCGCAAACGCACGCAAGGGCTCGTCTTCCTCCGCTTGCAGAACACAGTCACTCCCAAAACACAACAACAAACCGGATTAAGTCAAAATATGGATTGTGGCAAGGATCTCAATCACTCACTGGCACTCCCTTCGCCCCACCCAGTCCTGTGCCCTTCCTGCAAATCGCAGCGCCGCAGCAGGATCTGAACCTAAAGCCCCGGGACAGTCCGCAAATCATACTCTCCTTTCATCTCCTTTCAACAAAGGTCCCCCGAATGATGACTTTTGAATTGGGGAGGCACTTGCATGCGGGGCTCAGGATTAACGAACAATGCCTCCACCGAATCCAAGAGACACGGGGACATATCCTTCGCAGAATGAGAAAGGAGCCAGGGAAATATGTTCACTCCACAAACACTTTCGGTGGCCTCGAGGGACAACAATGGGAAAACAGAGTTCTGAGTTCAAACAACTTCAAGTTTTTGGTTTATTCGAGTGGCTAATGCTTAACTAAACTGTGGACAGGTGTGTTTTGGATTACTGTAGCACATCACAAGAATCGAAGGCAAACTAACTGTTAAACACCCAACCTTGCCTGTGCACTAACAAAATCCTCTTTAAACATCAACCCCCCCCAAGAGGAACCCCACTTTATTTTTGTTGGTAGACTTTGAAGGGAACCCTCCAGAAACAGTTGAGACAAGGGCATGTGTCTGGGAACCGCTTGAGGGCTGGGCGATGCACATGCTGGCATCATCCAGAAGGCCATCAGCATCCTCAAATGCGATGAGATTTGCCGGCATCCTTGTGTCACTTCCTGGACGAACTGGCGTCCCCCCCTTTTACCTGTGAGCTGCTTTGTTTCAACAGAGTAGCTATAACCACTTGTATTCCCGTGTAAAGCATCACCCCTACCTCCACAGGTGTGGGAAGACAGGCTGAACACGCAACTGAAAGGCAAGGGCCAGTTTTGTGCGGTCCTGCCAGCCGTTGTCGAGCCAGCTCAACCGCGCTTCGAAGCCATCCTTCTCCGGATGTAATGTCCTCTGAGAGACGTGCCAACTTGCACGCCTTGGAAGAGCAAAAGCGAGGAGTCTAGGCAGCTTTCTAGAACATCTAGTGGCTGCCAGTGGCTGCTGGAAATCAGCAATGCCGTTCGTCATGTCTTGCTGTGTGAGCCGACAATCATCAAATCTGTCCTATCATTTTCGAGCCCGTGCACTGTTGTCTATGTGACTCCAGGCAAGTTTGCGCAAGAGGCAGTCCTGGCATCTTCAACTGTCAATAAGCTTCCCAACTGCCGTGGCTCCGAGTTGGCTGATCCATCCTGAGATCAGTGCAACGCAAACAGCAGTGCTGACCATATCTGTCAACATCAATGAACTTTCATGAGAAATCGGAACCTGCACAGCGATGCTCTGCCAGCAAGCACGCCAAGGAGCTACAAGATGTATGGGGCCAACCATGTCAGCGGAAATGTCGGACAGAATTCCTGCTGCGATTCCCAGGATCGCACTGATAATTTAGGTGCCCTTTCCAGCCTTTCACATTGAAGACGTAGGCACCCTCCCACCTTGGTGGAGACACGAGTTGTACCGACTTTCCGCGCTTGACTTAGACGAGGGTCAAACTAGATGGCACAAGTCCCTGTGTGTGGCTGATGGAGATGACTAAACCACAATAGGGGAAGTGTGCCGAATCTAGTTTCATCCTGTAAAACTCCGGCCTAAATAAGAGCCGCAGACCAGGGAGACCCTGCAGGGCCTGCCAGCTATGTCGATGAGCCGAAACATTTGCTCAAGAACAGCCCAACCCTCAAAAAGTCACCCGAGTGCATTGCAAATCTCTATATATATATATATAAGTCTGGAGGATTCTGGCGGACGCCCGGCTGGGGCATAGTCTTCCCTTCGTGAACGAAGCGGGCGGATCTTCCAACACTGACTCTTGTGAATTTTGGAGGCCTATCCGGCCTACCCCACTGACAAATCGGGTAGCCTTCATTCAGCACAAACATGGCCTCTCTCCAAATATCAGAGCACGCAAGAGCAGAAGTCAACCTGGCACTCGCCTGGCGTCTCTGCAAGAGCTGGTTCTCTTCCTCTTGGGCCTCTCAGAAGCACAAGCGCTGAGAGGAAGTGATGGATGTGTTCCAGATGAAGCAGAGTGCCGTTAAACCGTTAGTGCCCATGAAATGGGTATGTACATAAATGTTACATATATACATATATAAACATACACATATATGACGCTGCCCAGGGAGGTCCCCCGATTTTACACATACCGAAAATGCCGATGGGGAATTTGCCAAACACAGTGCGACCCCTCCTGCGAACTTGGGCCACGAGTCCACTAGAGCAAAAGAGGGTCGGGAACAAAAACAATATCCATCCGCTTTCGGGTTTCCCGGTGGGAAATCAGAGTTACGCGCCTTTCAGCACCGGCCAAAAGACAACAGCATTTACGCAAACAGCTCGGGGCAAACTGAACATGCTTGTGTCGATGGAGGCAAACGGGTTTGAAGGTCAGGCCGCCTCTACAAACTATGTCCAACAATCCTCATGGAAGGTTGGGTTGTGCTCAAAGGGGTGGTGAGGGTTCTTGGACCTGGGCATCTCTGACATGACTTGCCCTAGACACAGCCAATCAGACTGACCATTGACATTCAAACGATTGGTCGTATCTTGGAGAATTGGCACAACAATATCTCGACATATCTCGACCCAACCGAACTTTCGTTTTTACATAATCTCGGAACTTGATAGCTCTGGTCATTTGGCGCTCCCCGCCTCTACCAAGTGAGACAAGGCGGGTGGCAGTGAGTGCGCGAATGACCATCGGCGCCACGTCCTCGATTGTCCACTTGCAAAGTAGTTGCAAAGGTCTAAGAATACCCCTACCCGTTACACAGCGCCTAATAGTATAGCAATGTTTGCCCCCTGTTGTAGTGGTGTGGGGGAGAGGGGTAGCGAAACCATCTTAGAAAAGTTGCAGTCCTGGTAAGATCACCTTCTTCACCAACCAGGTTGGGCAAGTGAATGCTTGCCTGGCACAAGCGCCAGGTCTTTCACTGATCCACACACCCCGGAGTTTGCCCGTGTTTCAACATGGAATGTGTCAAACTACGGGGGATGTGTGCCAACATGGGTTACCCTTGCGGATGTGTGTGAGAGAAACCGGGCTCCGCAATATGCCCGGCCTCGCAGGTGGGAGGCTGGTACCGTCCAAATGTCGCCAAGATGTGGCTTGCAGATACCTGAGCGGCAGCTTATTCCTCTGCAGTCTGGCAGTCTTGCCAGCAATGCCTTTGTCTAGCGTGTCGCCGGAAAATCCCAGAACCCAATCAACAACCAACAAAAACAGAAGCCAGCAGCAGCGCCAGCAGCAGAGTGGCGCAACAGCAGCTGCCACCAGCAGCCGCAAGCGGCAAGAGGCAAGCAGCAAGCAGCAGTCGTGGTGGCCGCAGCGGCCGCAGCAGCATCAGCAGCAGCAGCACTCTCCACGCGTCTCTTCCTTTTCAAGAGTCACAGCAGCTTTGGGTTCGGGTTTGGCATTCTCACCGGCCCAGCCCAAGCTCATATGTTTGTTTGGATTATTGCAGCCAAGGATCCGTTGTAGAGATGATTCCTCTGCACTTCTTCCTGACAAACAGGCAGCGGGGTCACCTCATTGAATATATGGTCTTGGATGTTCAGTCAGAGAACCGCTGGTGCGCATTTTTCCTTTGGAACTATTTGGAGACGGTTCCCCCATCTCCGATTGAAATTTGCTGGTTGACTAGAACGTGACATGCCCAGGAAAATTGGCGGCGTCGATGCAGGGATTGCTCTCACCATGGAATGTGTCAACACGAAGAGCTATTTTAGGCTTGATTTCAACAGGACACGTACCTGAAACCAAAGCCTTTGCATAGGCCTCTGTGGACACATGTCTCTTTCTCTTTGAGCAGCCAAGTTTGCTCCTTGCCATCAGCAGGTGGTAGCCAGCATCCGTCCGAACCTCAAGTTTCAGACCCCTCACAAAGAAAGCTGAACTGCTGTGCCCCAAGGACTCAAGAACAAGCAAAATCCTCCATTTGCCGTGCCTACCACGGCCCTTTTTTAACCTTTGTATTGAGATAGGGGACCAACATTTGGGCGGGTCCTTTTCTTTCCCCTTACTACCTTCAAAGAAGCACTCGGCTCGGGTCCCAAACCTGAGCCAAACCCAACGTCATTTGATTCAGGGACTATGCTTGCATCCACAAAATCCAGCCATTTCCACCAATCGTGGATGAATCCGCATCGTTCTCACCCCACATGAGAGTAAACCTCATGAAGCTGGCTCCGCGCGGTGGCCCCCAAAAGCGGACGAACATAGTTTCTATTGCAGAGTAAACAAAAACACAAATTAGAACTATTGTATTTCAAATTAGAAGTCAGGAACATTTCATTTTCCATAGAATCCCCATATAATTGTTGTACAAGTCAGTCAACATTTCAACGCAATTCATTCAAACAGAGCACACACTCACAGTGACGAGCTCTCCAGACTTTTCGGCGCGTCTGAACCCCTTGGTACTCCTTCAAAACAACCCAAAGAGGGCAACGGCTCAAACACATACCCTGTTTGGGTTGTTTTGGATGGCTTTTGTTTAGACAAACCCGACAATGCGGCGAAGGTGAGGCTCTCTCTGCTTTTGAGGGTACCCTCTGTTGGCTGGTTTTAAACGAGAACTCAACATGGACCCAATTGAATTCAATCATGTGTGTCTCATTTGACGAACCCTTGGTCCGAAAGCATGTGGGTAAGAAAAGTAGATGGCGCCATCTACTTTCACCACTCCTCGCTAGGCCCTCAGGTCCCCGTGCCGGGCCGAGCGGAACCCCCAGCTCCAGCTCTGGGTCGAAGAGCGCCCCCTGTCGGTCGAGCGGTCGAGATACCCACGACAAAAATCTGCTCAGGCTGCAGGGGATGTGTCTAAACAGGGGTGCTCTTCCCATGAGCATAGGTGCCTAAGGGGTTAGGGTCACACCAAAGACGTGACAGAACCCTACTATTTCGTCCCACTTTGTTAGAGGGAATCCTTGCCTTTTGGGAGGCTAACCCTCCCCTCTTCATCCACCAGGTCAATTGCCTCCGACCAACACGTGAGTGCACAGACCCCGATTGCAAGAATACTTTCCTTTTGGCAACTGTGTGCTTCCATGTTGCGGGGTATTTTGGGTGTGTCCTCGAATAGGGAACACTAAGGGTTGTGGGGGGCGGGGGCATGGGTGTGTCCTCGAGTAGGGGAACCCTAAGGGTTGTTTCCTTAGGCTTCCCTTTAGAACAAACCCCAAAACAGGGTACCAAGCCACAAAACGACGCATCTATGTGGTTTGGGATCGGTTTCAAGCAGCTCAAGTCCCCGATATGCCCTCGACGAATGGTTGCGCAGCCCAAAAGGTTTGAGGGCCAAGGGGCTTGAAACCTATGCGATAAAATGTGTTGATAAAATGTGCCGAGCCACAATTTTGCCCCACCCCTGCTTCCTGTTTGAGGTTGAAAACGAAGGAATTCTCGACCCCGCCATGTGGCTGATTTGATGTTGGGCCCTTTTGAATAAGGCCACCTGGTTTTTGGCACATGGCTTGCCGCAGTGCCTTGCAACCTTGCCCAAATACATTCCAAATGGCATCAATAGCAAGAATGGTTGGAGTCGTATGCTTTGAGATGTGAGGTTAGCTGAGCTCCGGTCAATGTCATTCCATTGCAGGAGGGCACTTGTTGCCCTGGGACATATTCTTGCCCCAAGTACTAACTGCTCCATTATCCCAGTTGTGAACCAGCCTTGGCAGAGTTTGTTTCACGTCTCTTTTTCATCCCCAGTTGGAGATTAAATCACCTCTCAAAGCGCAAAAACACCATATCAACATAAGTCAGAGATCCCTGGCGACGGCTTTGTTGCTTTTGGTTTTCCCGAGAAGCATCCGGAGAGAGATGCCAAATGTGACAGAGTCAATCCAACTTTTGTCATCAGAGCTACGGTGAATATGTATCGCGTGCCCCAATAACATTGGATTTTGGCGAGTAGCTCCAAAAATCTGGTGGCACTGTGGACCGAATGCCATTCCCTTGGCTACATAATATGACGGTGAATATGGGTCTGCGTGTTTTTGTTTTGGAGGGTATCCCTTTCAGGTTAGTCTTGGAGGGATATCAAAAGGATGGGCAATTCTGTCGTCCATTGTGACACAGACTGTTGACCGTCGCTCCCTAGCTTTTATCGCGAGACATCTCGCACCTCAATGGCTGGATGCATCTGCCCTCGCTCAACCTGCAGTTCAGGAATTTGGAGCCAGGCTGCGTCTTTTTCAGGACCCCCCATTTGGCATTTTTGGAGTCCCTCGTATTGAAACAATCCCAAAGGTGCCAAGGTCAAAAACTCTCACACTCGGCATGGTCATGGGTCCGTCATAGGAACCCTTACAGCAGGTGTCTTAAACCCCTATTAAGGGGTTGATGGCCATCCCCACCAACACCCCCAGCAGAAGAAGGGTCAAAAACAGCAAGAATCAAGGGATGCCCATGCAGCGGGTTTGCCGAGGTTGGAAAACCCAAGCCATGTCGTTTGGTTTCCGCGCATGCCACGATGTCGAGTTCATCTTTGGGTGCAAAGGGCCATGCCAAACTGAGAGTGTTTGAGACGAAATCCGAACTTCCGCCTCACCCAGGTCTCCACCTTCTGAGCGCGTCCCTGGGCAGCACGAGAAGCTGCGCGCGATGTTGGCGAAGTCCTGACGGGAAAGGAAATGCCTCAAGAGTACAAATGAGCAGCGACCAAACCCCATTGGCTTTTGGTTCTACTAACATGGTTGCCCCCGGGTTATAATCCCAATTAAGCCTACCCAAAAGGCAAATAGCAGTTTTGGGCGCTGATCAAAAGGGAAAAGCACATTCCTCCAAAACGATGTCTTGCCGGCCAAAGCAGTTTGAGTTGTTCGAAATGGATCCCTAATCCTAATCCGAAAAAACACCGGGGCAGTGCAGCACGGCGTGCTTGACTTAGGCATATCAATTCTGCTTCCCCACACAATCCGAGGACCCACAGAGCAGGGACAACCTTCCCATGGCAAATCCGTTGTCCCGTTGTTTCTCAGATGCTGACCAGCTCTGTGGCCTCCATGTTTTGGAGTGAGAGCGATCAACATGTACTGGCATTTAAGGAAATCCGAAGCCGTGTAAATCAAAAGGGCCAAGTCAAGGTCCGCACCATTTAAAGGCGGCACACCAATCTTCTCTCAGGCCAAATGAATGGCCATTGACGTTGCATGGGCGTGTCAAAATAGGGAGAACCCCCCCAAAAAAAGCAGTGGCTGTCCTTTCAACTGGAAAAGAGTACCCTGTGAAAAAACACAACTCGAGGAGGGTACCCTTAAAAACAACCTACATCCATGTCCTGACAAGGGTACCCTCAATAAAAACAACCCACATCGATAAAACCAAAACCACGTCCATGTCCTGAAAAGGGTACTCTCATTTAAAAAAAAGAAGAAGAAGAAGAAGAAGAAGAAGAAGAAGAAGAAGAAGAATAAACAACAACACATCAATGTCCTGAACAGGGTACCCTCATTAAAAACAAGCCACATCGATAAAAAAACAAAACCACGTCCATGTCCTGAAAAGGGTACCCACATTAAAAACAACCCACATCGATAAAAACCAAAACCACGCCCATGTCCTGAGAAGGGTACGTCGAACAAAACCAAAACCACGCCCATGTCCTGAAAAGGGTACCCTCATTAAAAAACAAGCCACATCGATAAAAACCAAAACCACGTCCATGTCCTGAAAAGGGTACCCTCATTAAAAACAACCCACATCGATAAAAACCAAAACCACGTCCATGTCCTGAAAAGGGTACCCTCATTAAACAAAGAACCCACTTCGTTTAAAAAAAGAAAAACAAAAACACGTCCACGTCCTGAAAAGGGTACCCTCGATAAAGACAACCCACATCGATAAAAACCAAAACCACGTCCATGTCCTGAAAAGGGTACCCTCATTAAAACCAAGCCACATCGATAAAAACCAAAACCACGTCCATGTCCTGAAAAGGGTACCCTCATTAAAAACAACCCACATCGATAAAAACCAAAACCACGTCCACGTCCTGAAAAGGGTACCCTCATTAACAACAACCCACGTCGATAAAAAACCAAAACCACGTCCATGTCCTGAAAAGGGAACCCTCATTAAAAAACAACCCACATTGATAAAAACCAAAACCACGTCCATGTCCTGAAAAGGGTACCCTCATTAAAAACAACCCACATCGATCAAAAAGACCAAAACCACGCCCATGTCCTGAAAAGGGTACCCTCGATAAAGACAACCCACATCGATAAAAACCAAAACCACGTCCATGTCCTGAAAAGGGTACCCTCATTAAAACCAAGCCACATCGATAAAAACCAAAACCACGTCCATGTCCTGAAAAGGGTACCCTCATTAAAAACAAACCACATGCAAGTCCAAGCTCAATCCAAACGTTGGATTTTGATGGCTCGGGGCTCCTCGGGGCTGGGCACGAGCGGAATGAGGGCTGAGCAGAATTGCTCGGCATCGAGCGGGCCCTGGAGCTTGTCCCATTTGCTGGATTGCATAGTGGTCAAGTTGCTTTCCCTCCCTGAGTAAAAGGTTTGACCTGGGTTTTGACAGCAATGCCGTTTGTTTCCAAATGGTCTACCGGACTGAGCTCGCATCAAAGACCAGCCATGAATGCATCTGCAAACCAGCTTGGAAAAACAGAATCCGAGAGCATTGGCGCGTGCCGCTAGCGCAGCAGCCTTTTCCAGTACCAACGAGTACCAATCACCGCCGAAGAACGTAGCTCACAAATCAAGAATAGCAAGAGCTGCGAAACCTATCAACCCGACGTGAACTGGGAATTGGGTTGGACCCAAGAAAAGGATGAAAAGGATCCTGGTGTCGTCTCACCCTCAGGTGAGCTCACTCTAGAATTGGTAAACGGATGTTCTACTTCAGAAATATACATGACTTCCGAAGCTGCCACATTTGCCCCCTTTGAGGCTTCAAGAAGGGAGTGAACTGAGGGAACCCTGTTGGGGCTCGGATCTTGTTTTTGAAGCCACACAGACACAGGGCGATCAATCCACAAAAGGCCAAGCTGGTTGCTTCATGGGGCACAAGGCCCACCAAAATCTTCATGCTGGCATTGCCGCGCGTCCCAGGGCAGGGTGGCAGCTGGGTTCCAGTTTCTGCTTCATTGTCAATTGAGCTCAATTGAGCTCAATTGAGCTCAATTGAGAATAGGCTGGAATGGCTGAATACCTCTCAAGCATCCGTCGCCTCTGTGTGGCTCTCGTCCATGTCCTGCCGCATTGCTTGTCATTGCTGCGGTGTACGCTGCTGCTCTTCAAACGAGTCGAGAGAGAATGCCGTGATAGAACGCACATGGGGCGCCCAAGCACTCTGAAAACAAAAGGCATTGGCACCTCATCTCCGTTTCCACTCAGAGCCCACAGCACCTGGCCAAACATGAAGAAGCAATTCAGCCGCCGTGCTCGCATGCATCTGGCCAGCTTAGTGTTTTCCAGCCTCGACACAATGAAACCCCTCAGCAAAGAACCTTCATGAAATCGCTCGTTTTATCCCGTAAAAGTTGCCCTGCCTGCATGTGTTCCAGCTTGAAAGTCTCGCCACTGCAAAACGCCGGGATGTAATAGTCGTCCTGTGTAGCTTCAGCATGCCGCATGGAGCTCAAACGGATACTCAAACATAAATGGCTTTTGAACGATGTAATTATGTTTGTTTTTGTAATATCCACATACCTGTGCTGGTGCCTTGCAATATGCACCGATGCACGTATGATGCTCATATCAGGTCAGGAGATAGCATCGTCATGAAAGGGGCCAAAGCTGCACTCTGCAAAGACATGCACCCTGCATTTGGCTGACCCACGTCCTTGCCCTTGTTGACCATTAAATCTCCAGGCAGGAAGAAGTCATCCCACAACAAGCAGAACTCCAAACTCCTGCAAAAGAGCAAGGAAGCAACACGCCAGGACAACTGCCACAGCTCAACCTGTTTCAACTCCTGATTGGCTTCATGTTGAGAAACGCCATAAGGTCTTCATACTTCGCCTGGGCATACAAATTACAAACGCAGTTCGGAATCATCAGAGAGTCATGTGTACCAGGCAGGGTTCAACAGTGCTATACCCTTCCACAAACATGACAATTGTAAAACCCCAAATTAACCATAAAGTACGTAATTTTGAACACACCTCCTGTCCGGTCTGAAACCGTCCGCGTTCAAAGCTTCACAATTGGTGATTTCGCAGGCAATCGGATCTCTTCTCCCATTGCCTTTGCGGCGTCCCGCAGCAGCGCCAACTGACCCACCAGCTCCGATGCCTGCCGAGAAAGGCACAAAAGTAACCAAAGACCCCACAAACAAACCTTCCTGACATTCCTTCGCTAGGCTCACAGAAGCATAGTATGGGAATGCTGCAGTCTGGGCTCCTGCTCCAGTTCAGCAGCCAAGTGTTCCTTTGGCTTCTCAAGGCTTGCGGCCACAATATCCAACGTCTCCTACCGCCCAAGTCGCGCGACTTTGCAGTGCAGTTGGTGAAAAACGCACGTCCTTCGCTTTGGCCAAATTCTTCTGCAGCAGAGACACCTTCTTAATGCAAAAAGACCGCACGAGATGGCTCAGGTGGAACACAAGCCTCCTCATCAAGGCTCTCCAACGTATTCAGCACCTTGCTCGGCGGCAATGGTTAGGTCAGACGGTCAATGCGGAATGAAGACATTTGGTGAATTCGAAATGTGAGCCCCCAACTTTTGCTTGGAACCGAGGGAAAGGGGGCCGCAACCTCCAAACCTATTACATCATATATCTTCTCCGGCTAGCCGGGCAATGAGATCGTCATTGGCACTCTGGTGAACTCTCGCAGGTCAAGTGGCTGTCTTGGAGAGGCGGGAAGTGCCTGCGGAGTCCTGCGGATTGCCCCAAACAGAAGCTAGCTTAAGTTGTCCGTCATTTGAGCGGACAACATTTCACAGGTTGCCTGTTGGTTCCTTTCAAAGTCCATTTTGAAAGGGGATTCCCCTACATGTAAGAATGTTGATCACTGATATACCAATAACACACAACGTGTGTTCTTTCATTTGACTAATATTGCGAAGGGCATCTCTTGGAAACGGGGGGTTGAGATTTTGAGATATTGGACGATGGTATGCCACGAGCCCTTCACGTTCCCTCCAGTCCTTCACCATGGCCCTGAGACGAGTCCGAGTCGAATCCGCGAGTGGATTTGTGTTGCGGGGTCTGAGCCAATGGCATGGCCCCAACAGGGCCAACTGGATTGGTCCGATTGTTTCGTCAAATGTTTCAAACCCAACGCATTGGTCCAATTCCTCTCTCTTGGTTTCAAATGGAGCCACAGTTGCTGCTGCAACTCGGTCCTGAAGACTCCAGAAAGGTTCTGGGGGACAGAATTGTGGTAATGTTGGGGAGAGGGTTCCAGCGCTTTGACAACCAAGATTGACTTCCACTCAGATTGATTTGCCCAAAAGTGACCCCTGAAATTATATAAATCTGCCTTCAAGTAGTCAAAACATGGGACACTGGTTGGGGATACTCCTTGGGCTCAGTCCCTTTGAGTCGCAAAGGGGGGAGACAACCCATTCACACCTCATTACACTTGCTGGGTTCCCAATCTTAGTTTGTTACCCCTAAGAAGGATTCATTTGAGCAGTGCCGAAAGTAGGGTACATAAAACCCTCTACTAGCAAACGACTTTCGCGGAACCTTTCGCGATGCTTTCGCGGCCACACGTTTCACTTTCGCGGGCATGTGTTTTGTCATGATCACTTTTGCGGAGCTTTCGCGGGCAACACAGAAACTGCGAATATGCACTTTCGCGACGCTTTCGCGGCGGGCTCTTCTTCAACCACTTTCGCCGCGAGCTTTCGCGGGCTTTCGCGCCCTGCGCTTTAGCTTTCGCGAGGCTTCGTTAGGAGACCCTCAATTAACTCCTTTCATAAGGGTTTTTGGCGCTGCTCATTTGGGGTCCCGCTTTTGGGGCAAAATCACTTGAAGCAATTCTTGGGATAACAAAAAGACATGGAAAACCAGCTACCACCCACCGAAAACTGAAGGTATTCATAATATTGTACGACCCCTACATTTCCGCCCGGCACACAAACGTGTTTCGGAACTTGCTGGTTCTCTGGGCATTTCAAGGATTTTGGAAAATCAAGGCATCCCCAAAAACTCCGGACACCACAATACATTCAGTTTGGGGTCATTCCAACTCAGTCAAGGTCAATCAAAGTCTCTCAGTTTGTGGTTTCTGGAGGCAATCACTTTACGG